ACTGTGAAGACAGAAGCCTGAAGCTGTTTCTAGTACGTTGACGTGGACTGTGTAATCAATTTTAGCCACTGCTTTCTTGACACGTGGTATTTTCGGATGAGATGTCTCTTGATCATGGTGATTTTACATACACCAAAAACTGCATGTCAAATGAGTGGCCACGGAGAAATTTCAAGATGACTCAATAGAACCCTCTGCTAAATTACCAAAATGCCCTTTATACAAAACACAGAGCAGAGACTAAAAGGTTTGGTTCTTCAACATTTTGATTTTAGTTAACGAAGAAGATGAAGTAAGAAAACAGAACATGATGCAACGTAATAAACTTACAAGAGATCAAAGAAATAATCTAAACCTTGTCCGATTTCCCATATCGAAATGCCGATACCCCAAAGACGAGCATTCTCAAGCCGTAGAAGGATTGACATCAATGTAGGATAGAAAACGGCATGCTTGATGTTCTTATCATCTCTATACATGAAAAGATGCTCGCCGCTCACTTTATCCCAATGTAAAGTTGGCTTTTCTTTCTCGAGTAATGCGAGGTAATCCCTTCCGGTGATTGCTCCTCCGCCTCCAGAATCTTGCTCAAAAGAAAACACTTTATTCAGTTAGTTTGTTTTTCTTAAAAAGGAGGGAAGAGAAGATGGAATGTTTCATATACCTCCAGAGATTACAAAATCGTTGCCGTAAAAGTTGATACCAAGAAGAACCTTTCTTGCCAGGTTTGAGTCTATGTTGTTGGATGAACCAAGCAGGAGCTTGAGAGTGAGATCTATCCATTTGAGAGGAGAATTGGGACCCGGGTTCAGAGAACTTGAGAAATCGTAGGTCATTAGAGAGAACCCGTCAACCGAATCTTTCAAGAATCGAAGATCTTCAGGCCCAAAATCGTACATTTGGAGCTTCTCTGAATGAGGTGGACCAACGACATACATGAACTGCATATTATGCTGGTTATCTCTCAGTGAGCTCGTGGAGTGAAGTGTTTCTCCAAGTTGTTTTACGAATTGCAATGCCTAGAAGATTGAATACACAAACCCTACATCAGGCTAAAAACTCGTGACCGTGAAGTTTGATGCTTGTAACACATATTAACACTGAAGGAGTACTACAGGACATAATACCATTTTCCGCATGTCGGGGTCATCCAAAACACCATAACCTGCCCACCTTGACCAAGACTCTAACACGATACCATCATATTCCATTTCCCTAGAGTAAAATCCAAATATGATCACAACGGGAGTGTTAAAATTAACAAGCTCTACGTGAAGACTTTCATTTCAGAGTATGAACATTAAACAGACTTTGAGAGACCCTTACTTGCACTCTGTGACAATAAGGTTGATAGCTTTCTTCCTTAGTTTCTTTTCTCTAAACAGCTCCCCGGGAACTGCTTCTAGAACAACTCTCGGTAATATCTACATGATAGCGGAAAAACAAAATTTTCAGACCATCAAAGAACGACAAAATAAATTAACCATTAGCATTTTGAAAGTGTAGTAGTTTGTTCAATTACCAGCGCATTTCCTCTTGATCGAAGCTCTTGGATCCATCCTTTATCAGCATTATGTCTCCCTTCCAAAACCAAGCCATTTCCTTGGCTACTAGAAAACAGAAACCGAAAATATCACAGCCTTTTTATCGAACCCCATAGATAAATGCAAGCATTTGGAACTCAATAAACTGATATATATATACCTCTTCAGATCGTACCATACCGGTGACAAATGTGTAAACTTGGAGTTGAATATCTTTGCAATATCATAGCCTTTAGAGTTCCTGCAAAGCATTTTTAGCAATATGCACATTGCAATTCACATTCACATAATTTCAAGATTGCAAGTTTTCCAGTACCATGGAGTGATGTAAGCTAAAACTGGATAATCATAGTGCCTAGTTGATGAATTCACTGAGGTCTTTGAATGTTCCTGAAAACAAAAATTCATACCAAAAACTATGAAAAATCCATCCTAAAGTTTTCACCTTTCCAACATTTTATGGACTCACAGTGAGGATTTCTTGGAAACTGATATCAGTTTTAACGATTCCTTTGTGACGTATTGATGATTCCGTTTCCATATCGATGAATTGATCAGCGAATTTGACTTTGTATACGACCATCGAAACGGCGGGAATTGCGATAAAGAAGATCACGAAAATGGTGATGAGTCTCCGATCTGAGTCTGGTTCTAGAGATTGCGACTCGTCTCCGTCCTTCCGCCGTTTCAAACTCTCCGCCGCCGATGAACGTCTCTCGCGCCTCCTCGCCATCGAGCTTCTCACGGCGACGAAGTCACTAGTGAAACGACATCGTTTTGTGCTATGTAAGGAGATTTTTTTTTGGTTTAGATGTACTGTAATTCCGTATTTACCCTTGTTCCATGTCTAATATTACGTTCAAGACCTATAAGAAGATATATCAGAGTAAGATGCATCAAAGATGAAAAATTTGGAATGAAGAAAAGAAGGGTTTTATGAGTTTATCGTTAAACCCCAATCCAAATCTTAGCGACCAGAAACAGAGATTGAATCGAAGCGATAAGGTGAGCTTTTGTTCTGTCTGTTTTACGTATTTCCTGAATTCGAATCTCAACATTTCTTTGGTGAAATTCGCAGGCTTAGATGGAGCCTAAGCTTCTGCTTTCTGCACATAAACCATTGTTCGTCTCTTGCAACTCTCCATTCAATGAAAAACCTTATCTTTCTGTTAAATCCCCTTTGCCCATGTCCACAATTCGAGCTGCGAGGTCTCAGTTTATGGGGGAAGGTTTGATTTTAGGGAACAAGTATGGATTTTGGAGCGGTTCTAAGAAAACCCGTGTCGTTGTTGAGCCTGTAAGAGCTGCTGTGAAGAGAAGGAAAGAGCTTCCTTTCGATAACGTTGTTCAAAGAGACAAGAAACTGAAACTAGTGTTGAGTATTAGGAAGATTCTTGTGAGTCAACCAGATAGGATGATGTCTCTTAGAGGTTTAGGTAAGTACAGGAGAGATTTGGGTTTGAAGAAACGTCGTCGGTTTATAGCTCTGCTTAGGAAATATCCAGGTGTGTTTGAGATTGTTGAAGAAGGAGCTTATTCATTGAGATTCAAGATGACATCAGAGGCTGAAAGGCTTTACCTTGAGGAAATGAGGATTAGGAATGAGCTTGAAGATCTATTAGTTGTTAAGTTGAGGAAATTGGTGATGATGTCACTCGAGAAGCGGATTTTATTGGAGAAGATTTCTCATTTAAGGACTGATTTAGGGCTTCCTTTGGAATTCCGGGACACGATTTGTCAGCGTTACCCGCAGTATTTCCGTGTGGTTCCTACGCCTAGAGGTCCGGCTTTAGAGTTAACTCACTGGGATCCTGAGCTTGCAGTGTCAGCTGCTGAGTTATCTGAAGAGGATAATAAGGTTAGAGAATCAGAAGAGAGGAATTTGATTATCGATAGACCGCCTAAGTTCAATAGGGTTAAGCTTCCAAGGGGTCTCAATCTTTCAAAGAGTGAGACGAGGAGGATATGTCAGTTCCGTGACATGGCGTATATATCTCCTTACAAGGATTTCTCCCACTTGAGGTCGGGAACATTCGAGAAAGAAAAACATGCTTGCGGGGTTATTCATGAGCTTTTGAGCTTAACGACTGAGAAGAGAACGTTGGTGGATCACTTGACTCATTTCCGCGAAGAATTCAGATTCTCCCAACAACTAAGAGGAATGCTTATAAGGCACCCTGATCTGTTCTACGTGTCTCTAAAAGGAGAAAGAGATTCGGTTTTCTTAAGAGAAGCTTACAGAAACTCTGAGTTGATAGATAAAGATCCTTTAACTCTTGTGAAAGAGAAGATGCGCGCGCTTGTTTCTGTACCGAGATTCCCAAGGAAAGGAGGACCC